TGTAAGAAGCTTCACATTGGTCTTGTATACAGTTTAAACAATAAATTAAAATCGATCTTTTCACTTGGAAAAGATGTAACTGAGCCACTCGATAAAAAAAATGTCGTTTACCACATACCATGTGCGAATTGCAACTGCTGTTATGTTGGTCAAACATCGAGAGCTCTAAAGTTAAGAATGACAGAACACAAAAGAGACATCGAGAAAAAAAAAGAATACATCGGTACTATCACAACATAGCATTGAATTTACACATAATTTTAATTTTGATAATATTAAAATTTTAGACATAGAACAAAATTACAAAAAGTGCCTTTTTTCCGAAATGTTAAATATACATTACTTTAATAATAATATTAATAGACAACAAGATACAGAAAAATTGAAAGATTGTTATAGGTCTCTCGTTATGTCAATTAAGAAAGGTGACTAACTTTATATACATGATTCGAGGACCCCTTTCATTCATAGTATTAGGAAAACATGAACTGTTTATGTGCGTCTCAAGGAACTGCTTGCGATTCTTATTCGATTGTATTACGTGCGTGTACTATGTCATTTGTGTATGTGCAGGGTATAAAAGCCACTTAGCTTGAAACTTTGACTACATTACGATTTTACATCCTTTTCGTAAGAGTCAGAGGTATGTTATACAAGTAACTTAATTTGCGTTTATTATATTTTACTTAAATTTGTATTGCAAAGAATTTTGTTACTCATAGATTTTTGTACCTGATGAGGGCCGGGACGTTGTCCAAACGGCCGAAACGTCGTTTTGTTTTTTAATAAATTCAAAATATGACAGTATCACCATTGGACGTTGTTTTTAATTAGATATTATTTTATATTCATGTAGCATTAAAAAGTAATATTTTAATACACGTATACATTATTAAATTCAATTAAAACTCTGTTTTAGCTGTATCGACAAGTGGTTCCAGGTAAATCGAAGTTGTCCAGAACATCCTGGCGATTGATGTCAGTTGGATTCTTGAAAAAGCAGTGAGACTTGAAACAATTTATTATGTGATTCGTGAGGTGCCTGTAGAAACTTCAACAGTAATAATTGCAGTGTTAACAACATCAGCAAACTACGTCAAGGAAAAAGAAAATTAACCAGGAGAAAAAAATTACAGGTTACAAAAAATAAGCTAGTCAAAAGGTGGCTACTAGTCGGTGATTTTCTGATTTTTTGAGTTACGTAATAAAAGTGCTGTGTGACACGTCCGCATACTAGTTTATATACAAAACCACAACGAGATCCATACACACAATTACTCTTCTTTACATACTGTATTTATTCTCACTATCCAGTTTAGGTAGCCCTATCTTATTCATAAAAACAGTGTGGATGGTGCGTTATTCAAGCTAAATACAATCACTAAGCATTTAATTTTTAAAGTAAGCTAAGTTGATTATCGAAATTTGTATTTTGTGTTCAATGAGTTGCAACAGCGCTTTTGTTCAGTTAACCAAATCAATGCCATATGCTTAGTGTATGTACACATTTAAGTTATCTACATCTGAAAAATTATGTGACTGGAGAGATGACATTTACAGATATACTAAGGGCATGGCACTGACTTGTCTAACCATATAAAAAGGCTTGCACAACTTACGAGTTACTTTCATAAAATAAACTTTTTATATTAGTTTCAGATATCAACTTTACTTCCTTTAAATATTTAAGCGTAAACATAAACTTAGCAATTATATTTATCTTTAATTACATTCTATTTACACTGTTTTATGGGTCAGCTGATTTGTTTCGTCCTTAACATAATTTGTGTTATAGTACACGAAACGGCACTACCTGTGGTGGAAAAGGCGAAGATTCGCTGTTCGAATCATGATATCCCACAAACTAAAATCTGATTTGAATGGACAAATTTTTGAATCCAAAAACTTCTTAATTTTTCTACTTGTAAATCAAAAAGGTGTTGACAAATTAGATCCAATAATATCCATCACATTCACTGATATAATATTACTATCTCTACGTATTATATATGCTACATAAACTCAACTACTACTGATTTTTAATAATAGAATGAAATAATTAAACTTATGGATCTATTTTTGATATATTGTTTGCACGAGAAGGTCAATTCAAAGAAAAATAAAACCAATGTGATTCTACAAATTTGAGAGTTATCATGCGTTTGCTTAAAACAATAGCGACATTCACAAAGCTATACACATTGTAGCTCAAGTATTATTATTGTTTTTCATTTTTAATGTCACCTAATCTCCAGTGCTTTTCTAAGATTTCATGCTATGAACTGTTAATCAAACACAGTATATGAATATTTTTTTCGCATCCATTTTTATGCTTAACACTTTTTCGCATAGACATGCTTTTGCGATTTTTTTTTTTAAAAGAAAAACTTCCAATTTTACTTTAATTCTTTTGCAATTCACTTTTCTATTTACGCAATGTAATTTTGTGTTACATTTAAATGTAAATATTTTGTGCCAAATTTGTCAAATACTGAATCTCCGTGCCATCTTCAACCTGTTCCACATACGATTCGATGACTCACTGCAGTCGTTTCTGAATATCGAACCACTTATGTTAAGGTTCCGCTTTCACCTATTAATTTTTGTTACGAGTACTGTAGTATTTTAATATTGCACATATTACCTTACTATACTTAAGTAGGGTGTACATATAAGAAATTATACACGATTTCTGAATTTTAAACACGCTTTCACCTCTCACGAGTTCCCAGGATCGTAAAACTTAAATATTGTTGGAGCGATCTATAATAAAAACAAAAAGTACAAGTTATAGTACGTTTTACTTATGCACTTCAACCAAAATAGGTATTTTGAAAAGTACATCTAAAAAGCAGACAGGGCTTTTATTAAGCAACAAGGGATTTTTTTGGGTTCCAAAAATTAGCACTTTTTCGTTTTTAAGTTCGTTGGAGTGAAAAATTATATTTTTCTCGTCTGTTTTAGTACATAGATACCGAGCGAGTAGGTCATTCAAAGCATCATATGTTGTTTGACTCATAGAGAAAATCTTTCGACGTTCCTTTCCTACAGCTTTTGACAAATTCTCTCTTGAGAATAGTTAGAACAGTACGCCTACGATTTTAATACACGCTTTCTCACCTTAAGATAAACCACCTAACTTATTGATTCCGGTGTATTTATTGTCGCTCAAGCCTTGCATTCCTTCACATCTCTTCGGTGATCCCAATGTTGCAAAAGAGAGAAAATTTCTAATAACATTCGCACTTTTATTTTACATTCAATTTTTAACTCTTAGATGCAAACTGACGAATTTCAAGTTTGTAACACAAAGAACTTTATGTTTTCAACGCAACAATGTAACGCAAAATAAAAAAATTCGAAATGTTTAATTTGCGGAAAATTGTTTCTGTAGATATTTTGTCTTCGAAAAAATGGTCATGCGGAAAAGTAGATGCGGAAAAATGTCTAGTGAAAAAGTGGATCCGGAAAAATGCACCCCAATCATAAAACATTTTTTAACAAGAGAAAAAGATCGAAAACTCCCTTGAATGTAATCTGAAATGTAAATGAGTTATAAAAAATCGAATAATTAACTGACATAAGATACGGGACTCAAATTTTTTTTTGTCCCAGTGCAGCAATGTAGCCGGTAATATTTTCTTTTTAGCAGCAAAAACACAAAGTAGTATATTATCCACCAAGGGAAGAAAAATAAAGAATTTTTCTGATCCCAGGCAATCGATAAGCATGATAAGCATACATGATCTGAAGGATTCTTTGTTTCTTCTGGTACGTTGTTTAACGATCTTTCACCGGTCCTGTGCCGGGAGAAGAAATTTTCGTTTCTAAAAAGTCGAAGCTAGAAAGATTTACCTTGGCTGATCTAAAAATTTCTTTTTTTTTCTAGCTTTGGGTTGTAATATACTATTTTTGTACTCTACAATGATTAAAAATCATATTGTATGTATTGGTTGTGGTTAACTATGAAGATGATTATGTCACTATTGCGCTGGTAGTCATTTTGAAGATGATTATTGAAGGTTCTGGCGTTGATTGTTGTTATTGTTTTTGTTACTATTTTTTTTATATTGCCATCACCTCTACGATTATTGCGATTATATTAGTTGTAACGTTGTTTGTAAATGTAAGATACTGTTTATGTGATTAAGAAAGCATACAATGTGTAAAGATACAGCTTCAACAAACGAACCTCGTATAATATCGTCATGAGCTATGCGTACAGCAATTAGTTATTATCTGTGTTTTTAATGATTTACTTGTTAATATATATCGATTTTGTTACTTCTTGTCTAGGTATGAGCATAAAAAGAATATTTTTGATACACTCATAAAAAAAAGATGTTAAAAAGTACGTCACACTGTAAAGCTGACTTACTTCGTTATGTTGCCATATATGACAAGAATCTGTCAATCAAGATTTTTTTTATTGAAGCCATCAACAACGTATTGTCGTTTGTATATTTTTAATATTCTTGTTGCTAACAATTTTGTAAAAAAAAAATCACAATTCTAATAAAAAATGTGGTNTTCCTCTTACGAGGTATGCGATCAATTCGTCTATATTAAATATCGACAGACAAGGACCGTTGGGGCAAGGTTTGAGTCTAGTAATCGAGAGTTTGGTTACAAGAATGTATGAAAGTGAAATTACTAATAAATTATTATGATTTCTCTTCAGAGGTATGCGATCTGTTCGTCCATATTAGATATTGACAGACAAGGACCGTCGGGGCAAGATTTGAGTGTAGTTTATTCCTGACACTTCTCAGAACACAAATCTTCTAAAACGATTGAACCTTAGTAAACCAATAAAAACCTATTTCTAAAAAAATTCTGTATTTTTTTTCTCAGATTCTTAATCTTATATGTTTATGTAATTTTTCAGTACATAAACCACTCAAATAAAATGCTGATTTACAACTTTTTTGACTTTCTAAATGCAGGGATAAGACTTCGTTACACGAACATAGTCAATGAAGGTGTGTTTTTAGTAATTTTTTTTTAATACTTGAAGAATTAAATTAAAGATATCCCCTGGAAATAGACAAAGAAAATAAGAAGTCCTATGGTCACAAGAATTGTCGGATAATTTAACCAAATGTTTTTAAATTGAATAAACAAAAGGTGAACAATTATTTTTTGATTATTGCAATAGTTCGTTAATTTATGTAATCTTTTTACCATTAAAGATTACTTAATGATGAATAATGTATCGTTTATAAATTCATGAAATCCACTCAAAAGTTTTGTAAGCACGTGATTCCACGGCAAGTTTTGGTATAACTAAAAATATCGCCATTAAATTAACTGTAACAACCACTTAAACAATGTGTTAATATTTTATGTTGAGTAAATTATTGTTAAATTTATTTCGAACAATTTATGTAGGATGATAAACTGTATTTTTGTTTCCCCATACGTGACTTTTAATAATTCAAACACACAAACTGACTTCTTTTTCTATGCATTTTCAGCTGAATATGATGGCCATAAATTAATTTTTTTAATCATACTTTTTAACTGTAATCAACAAACTAAATTTTGTTACTTTATTTCTAAGTTGCTTCAAAGATAAATTTTACCCAACAGTAAATTAATGATTAATAGTATCTTGATAAGATTAAATGAAGAAATATCGATGCATCACATTAAACAAAATTAAATGTAAAATGTTTAATTAACAAAAAGTTATTGATTAGATATGTTACTAATGGTGAATTGAAAATTCTGTAAAATACAATGTATGCTTTAATAGATGTATAACTTTGACGACATGGTGATAAGCGTGCTAATCTCATAACTGCAGAAATTCTGAGGAATCGTCCAAGGGCTTCGGTTAATAGAAGAAATCCTTTTATCATTCGATAACAGCCAGGCTATTTTTGAAACGATTGCTACGCACTGTAAATGGTACCCAGTAGAATGGATGATCAAGTCATCCAAGGAGAACTTTGCAAAAGGCCTCCACAAACGACTGGCATACTTTGAAAAAAAAAAAAAAGAAAAATGAGGGAGGAAAAAGGTATCAGATGGTTAGAGATTTAAGATACATAAAAACCCACTAATGGGTTTATCTAGAATTTCAATACTAAACTATACAACAAATCGATAGTCCTAAAGAAAAGTAGCACTTAATTTTTCTCGTTCAAAATGACTTTGAGGAATCTGAATACTACTTTTTTTCGTCATGTCATTTCGTCATGGACCGCCGACATGTACA